ATGTGAGCGGCATGTAAAAAGTCAGAGAGTGATGCAGTCATTGAGAAATAGGTGAGAGGAGCTGAATGCAAGGAAGCAAAGGCAGGAGAACCAGTGTGTATGCCTATGTTGGATCTCAACAGTATTTATGGATTAAAGGAAGCTGGGTAGTTCTGAGACAGAACAGCAAATAGAGCTAACTCAACACCAGTGCATTTGTTCTTGTCATTTTAAGATTTACTGGCTGGAGAGACAGAAATATATGGTGAGCACAAAAAGGCTACTAAAGGATAATAATAACTTATTTGGCGCATCCATGTGAACTGAGTGTACAAGGTAAGAAATGACTGTATGATTGCATCAATTCTAATTTGTTTTTGATGGATTTATATATACTTTAGCTTATAAGATGTCTATAAGTAGTTAAAAATGACCATTCTAATCTCAGAATTTTCAATTTACAATGATTTAAACCTAAACAGAGAAATAAATCCTAAGACACTTGGGAATGTTTAGCATTTGTTTTTGGCATTAAACAAATATAATACATTTCTAATTGATTGTCAAGTTGTGTTGGTATTGGTGTCTGTTGTTCAACTACTCATTTCAGCACTGGGTGAACATGTGACCCTGTTACTTCACTGTTTATGGCCTCAGTTATCATGTAGACTCACTAGCCATAGCAACACAGCAGGAGGGCCATTTGTTCCAAACATAGTCAGCAATAGAAAGAGCAGAAGAATGGAAGAGCAAGAAAAAGGTGACTGAAAGAGGTAAAGGAGGTAAGGTGGTGCAGAAGGAGAAAAACAGGAGGAAATAGGACTAAAAGGGTGGGGTGAGAAGAACAGGCTGGCTGAGTGAGAAGAGACGTGGAGTCCCTCTAGGTGTACGCTGTTATATAAGCAGTCCACTTAGTGGCAGAAGACAGAGAGGTTGCAGGGCAGAATGAAGGGAATGAAGGGAGGAGAGGAGAGGAGAAAGAGGGGTAAGCGGTGAGAGGGGATCTAATAACTTATGGAAGAGGTGAGAAGGGGGATGGGTGAGGGACGAAAATGCCCTGAATGATGACAACAAAAAGAAAGGCACAAAAAGCAATGCAGAGGCCTAGACAGAGACATAGTGCTCCCCAGGGATCAACATATATGCGGTAAAAGTGCATAAAAAAGACTGATGGCTCTCATTCTCTCATCTCTATTTTCCTGCAGCCCATTTCCTCTCTCCAGCTCTCTTCCTCTCTTTATGCTGTGCATTGTCTCTGTGGTGGTTTTGCTGTCTCATCATCATTTTCCTATGAGTGGGAGAGTGCAGCTAGTTGGTAAAGGCTGCGCACAAGCTGGTGAAGACTTCCAGGGGAGGCAGACAGCAGGAAAGAGAGAGGTAAAGAGAGAAAGACAGAGAGCAAAAAAGAACAGGCGTGGAAGACTGAGACAAAGATAGAACCACTACATCTTTCACATCTGTGCTACAAAGAGTCTTTGGAGAATACTACTGGCTTCAAATAACAACGGTAAGGTAGCACTATGACTAAGGACACATACAAATACACAAAGTGGACAGAAACAGAGCATCTTCTGCAACCACAGAGAATCTTTAATTACTTTTAAAAACACCACGACAAAGTAATTTGAAATAACCAATGTAGAAGCATAGGAAATACTTCTCCCACTTTCCACACGAGTGATGTCAATCATTTTTATTTTGCTTCACTGAGCTTCAAACCAAAACCATGCCCTGTGTTGCTTTTCTGTATAATATCTTTGCCAGGCTGCATCAGGGCTCTGATGACTTTCAACTGTATTTATTTATTGTTTTTTTTTGTCATGACTGGATATGAAAAGTCTACACCCACTGAGGTTTTCTTCACAGTCTGATGTTAGTGCTGTTTGTCCTGCTGCCCTACATTACTGCCAGAGGCTCCGACAGTTTCCAAAAAAAATCCATTACAAACAGCTGGAAGAGACAAGCTGTTGCTTTTGACGAACACAGGCCAACCTTGCAGCAGAAGACAATAATAGTGTCTGAAAGAAGAAGGAAAAAAAAAAATCACATAGCTTTAGACTCTTCATTAATGCTGAATACAAATACACCCGTATTATTTTTTCAACTGCACATATCAGCAACTATTGGCTCTATTTTATGGAATATCATAGATGCACACCGAAAAAATATTTCACAAAAGCTACACAACTGTTTTTAAGCTTTTATTACTTCATATATTTATAAGTTCTCAAATCTTTGCTTTATTTTGCTAAATTTTCTTGCTGTATTCTAAAAGTTCTTCTCCCACTTGCTTTAATGTGTGCTTGTGCATCTACAAACTAACATGACTAGAGCTATTCCATGTCAAAAACAGATCACTGAGTCAGTGTGATTCAAT